TGCGGACGATTCCGAGACCCCCTCGGGCAATGAAAGACTCATGACGGGATATTTTTTGTCGCTATGTTCGGCCTCGGGGGGCCCCCAGCCGGGCCTCGGGACCGTCGAACACCGACTCTGGATGCAAAGCCGGTCCAGGGGAATGGGTCGAGACCTGCAGGGGTCGACGCAGTGAACAAGTCCTGACGTCGGGGGTCTCGGGTCGTGAGCAGGAAGCCCGACGGAGACGAAGAGGTGTACGAACACACGGGGCGAAGAGAGAGAGAGAGAGAGAGAGAGAGAGAGGGCGAGTGACACAGCGAGGCAGGGGACCAGTCGGCTCTGCACCGGTTTTTAGCCGTGCCCGTCCTCCCCTCTTCCATGCCTCTTTGACGGGGTCGGAGGATTGCGCCGCACCGCCGATGCATCGCCGATGCGGCTCGATGCGGGGCTCGATTTGCTTCACGTCGACGTCGCCGATGCAACGCCGACGTCGACGATGCATCGCCGGTGCATCGCCGGTGCATCGCCGATGCATCACCGATGCATCGCCGATGCATCGGCGATGCGGCGCGAGCCTCCAGCCACGTCTACTCCGACCCCATCCAGGAGGCCTCTACCTTTGTGTCCGTCCCTCTCCCTTCCTTGCCCGTCCTTTCCCTCCGCTCTGCTCGTGCGGGCCCTGCTGCGCGCGCCGCTTGCTTGCAGGCCTTCGCATCCACGAGCCCACCCCCCTGCTGCTACTCCTCCTCCTCCTCCTCCGCCTCCTCTCCCTCCGCCTCTCTCCTCCTCCTCCTCCTCCTCCTCCTCCTCACTACTCTCCCTCTCCCCCGAAGGCGGCCTGAAAGTAGCCGACCCCCCCCGCGTACTGTTTTTTTACACACAGGATTCCCGGGAGTTGGGTTTTCGCTTGCGTTTTTTTTCAAAATGCTGCTCTCGCTGAGGCGCCGGCCTCATTTCTGCTCCCGAATCGTTCCGAATCGTGCTCCCGCTGCAGCGTGGGCCTCATTTTCGGATCGGTGTTTTGCCTCCGTCGTTCAGGATGGCGTTCTCGCCCCAGCGCGGGCCTCTTTCTCGCGCGCCCATCCGCCCGCCACCACCGCGCCGCACCACGCCCCGCCCCGCCGCACGCACACCCACCGCCACTTCCACCCACCAACGCACGCACGCACGCACGCGCATCACCACCGCGCACCGCCACCACCACCGCACTACCCCACCCACCACCACCACGCTACACCGCGTCACACCACATCACACGCGCGCGCACACAGACACACACGCACGCACGCACGCACACACACATACACATGCACACACACACACGCACACACACAGACACACACACACACACCACCACCGCCACCACCACCGCCATCACGCACGTACGCACCTGGCCCACCACCAAACCACAAGACGCCACACCACGTCACATCACAGCACACGCGCACACACGCACACCCACATACACACCACCACTCACACGCGCGCGGAGCCACAGGTCCGCTACGACACGCGTCCGCGGATAGAGAAAATCAGCGCCATGGTAAGGGATGGGAGGGAGGGGTAGGATGTCAGATGTTGACGCGAGCGCACCTAACTTGTCTTCCTCCCCCTCCCCCTCCTCCTCCTCCTCCTGCTCCTCCTCCCCCCCTCCTCCTCCTTCGCGCGCGTCGCCTCTTTCCCCCTTGACCTGTCAGGCCGGCAGGGTTGCAAACGCCACGTGTCGATTTGACCTCAGGCCTCGCCCTCCGCGGCTCGTCTCCATCTGTCGTCTGTACGGCGGCGGCCGCCCGCCCGCGCCTGTCTTCCCAATTATTGCTTCGCGCGCCCCGCCTAGCTCTTAACCGGAAGAGGCCCGCTCTCGACCCGCCGACCAAAAATTGTACGGCGGCGGCATTGGCTAAGGAACGTCTTCCTGGGGCCCAGACCCTGGCGCATTCCTTACTGCTTCAGGGCCCACGTTTGGCCGCCCCATCGGTCGCGAGGCCCTGGGTGCCTTATTGAAGGTATCCTTAGCTAAAGCCTCCACCGTGCCTTCGTTTTATGGTGTGGCGCTGCGGCTGCACTCATGTTTTCGGCGACTCGACGTTCGTCATGCTCGCCTCAACGGACGCTGCGACGCAGTTTTGCTGTAGTGGTATGCAGTGCCTGAGGAGATGTCGCCGTCGCGGTGGAATATTACTGCAGGGGCAAAGAAAAACGAGCGAGGGGATGAGCGAAGCAAAAGGAGAGAGTTGCAGAGCCGCTAACTCACAACATTGGTGACAGTTGTATTTTTTCAGGCGACCAGGCAGAACTGATGGTGACATTGATAGTGGTGCAGGCCATGATACTGGCAACATGGGCACGCAGAGTAATGATAACGAATAGCGACGCTAGCAAGGGAGAAGCAGCTATGTCGCGAGCGCTAGCGGGATGTACGAGTGGGTGGGTGGTTTGGGAGCCGTGTCCGCAGGCGTGGCTGCAGCGTTACCGGCTGAATGGAAATCCGAATCCATGTCCACCGCACAACCACAGGGATGGGAACGGGCTTGAGTTGCCCGTCGCAGGGAGATCGAGTGCAAGTTGCGAGCTCTGTCCCTGCCTCTACTTCCGCTCCTGCTTTCGTTTCTGTCTATGCCAGTGTTCCCGCTTCTGTCTCTGTTTCCATGCCAGTATAATGTTTGCCAGCGTGGACTCCAAACTCTGCACTACGAATGCGTTGTGTAAGTTCTGCGAACTTGTTGGTACAACCCACGAAGTCCAACGTGTGAGCTATGTGGTGCAACCTGTGTGGTGCAAGTCTGCCGTGCAGTGTCTAGGTGGTGCGCAGTGCGTGGTGCAACCTGCGTGGTGCAGACTACCCAGGAGGGGAAAACACACATAGACACAAATAATCGTCGATCACCAGGAAAATATCTGGGAACATATGGGAAGTGGGGGAAGACAGAACCATAGAAAATATGTGAACGTATGGGGAATTCTGGGATTGGTGTGTATTTATCTGTGTGCTTGTGGGCCCCTTCAGCTACGCCGTGCAGTCCAGGCGGATCCAGCCGTGTGCTGCCGCCGCTCTGCTGCAGGCCGTGTGGCGCCAGCAGGAGGAGGAGGAGGAGGGGGAGGAGGAGGAGGAGGAGGAGGAGCTGAGGAGGAGGAGAGGAAGGATGGGGAGGAGGAAGAGGAGAGAGGAGGAGCAGGAGGAGGGGAGGAGAGATGTTTGCTTTTGAGTAGGATGAGGGGAGGTAGGAGGATGGATGATGATGATGAGGGAGGAGGAGGATGGAGAGGAGGAGGGGGGAGTTGAGGAGGTATGGAGGAGGAGGCTGAGGGGGGGGAGGATGTTGGAGGAGGGGGGGGATGAGGAGCGGGGGTGGAGGATGTACCAGGAGGGGAGGAGAGAGAGGAGGAGGAGGAGAGGAGTAGGAGGAGGCAGTAGTGATAGTGAGGCAAGATGTTGGAGAAGGAGTAGGAGGAGGCGGATGGGGGGGAGTAGGTTTGGGGAAGGATGGAGGGGAGGAGGAGGCGGGAGGGGAGGGAGGTAGTAAGGACGGTGAGTAGATGGGGGGTATGGAGGAGGTTGAGAAGTATTGAGGAAGGACAGCAATTCAGATTATTATAGCGGCGATGGGGGAAAGATAAGCGGATGGGAGGAGAGGAGCAGGAGGAGGAGAGGAGGGAGGAGGAGGGAGGGTGGATGAGGATGATGAGGAGGAGGAGGAGGAGGAGAGGAGGAGGTGAACCTGCCGTGTTTTGGGGAGGGGGAGGATGAGGAGGAGGATGAGGCGGAGGGGGGGGGGGAGGTTGGAGGAGGGGGGAAAGGAGGGGAGGAGGGAAGCACGGGAGGAGGAGGAGGGAGGAGAGGATGAGGAGGATGAGGAGAGGGGGAGGGCAGAGTAAGGGGGAGGGGGGATTGGAGGAGAGAGGAGGGCGGAGGGGGGGGGAGTAGGGTTTTGGGAGGAGGTGGTGGGAAGGAGGAGGAGGAGGAGGCAGTAGAGGATGAGGAGGAGGAGGAGGAGGAGGAGGAGGGGAGGAGGAGGAGGAGAGAGGAGGAGGAGGAGGAGGAGGAGGAGGTTGGAGGAGGGGGAGGGGGAGGAGGAGGAGGCGGAGGAGGAGGCGAGCTGCAGCGGGCCCCGCGGCACCTCGGCACGCCGTGCCCCAGGGGGGCACCGGGGCCGCACGCCGGGCGGCCCGACGGGCCTCGCCCACCGGGGGCGAGGCCTCGGCCGACGCCCTGCCTTCCCCCCCGCGGGCACGGGGGCGGCCGCGGCATGAGGCGCCCACGGCTCCCACAAGTCAGAGCGTGAGTTACCTACCCCGCTTTCGCTTCCAGGCAAAACCAAGTCATACCACGCGCCTCCTCGTCAAGCGGCCTGACCAGTACAGGCCGTAGTTTGGCATCGCTCGGTATCTCTTGGAAGCGAGGGTGGTCAAAAGCGAGGTAGGCTTGTTTGCCCCCTAACAAGGCGAGGCAAGCCAGGGCAGGACCAGCAGTGCCTTAGGCAACAGGCTCTGTTGCCTAAGGAACTGCTGGTGTCTTACCTCTTGTTTGACCAGGGGGTAGGAAAAGCTGCTGGTTTCTGACCTCAATTGCCTAAGGAGCTGCTGGTTCCTTGGTCAACAGACTCTGTCGCCTAAGGGGTGCTTACCTCTGTTGACCAGGTAAGAACCCCCACCCCCCACCACTTCTGAGAGGGAGGGTGGGGTTCACTTCGCTCGAGAGCTCCCGAGCGGAGTGAACCCCAGCTTCCCCCTCAGGAATCGTGGGGGGTAGGGGTGGGGTTCGCATGTGGCCCCCGACACAAGGCGAGGCAAGCCTGGGCAAGACCAGCAGTGCCTTTCGGAGGTCGATGGACCTCCTACCCCGCCACAGTCGATTAGCGAGTCGGCCGTTTTCGGTTCGCGGGAGGGCGTCGCGGACGTCATTTTGCGGGTCCAGGTCCGTCGGTTTCGGTCCCGGGCCGTTTTCACTAAAGGGAGGTTTACGAAAGGGAGGTTTGTCCACCGCCGATCCTCAGGCAACAGAGGTAAGAACCCCAGACAGTGCCAGCACTGCCTGGGAAATGGTGCACACGCCAGGTCTGTGTCTGTTGTCCCCCCTCCTTTTCTCTCCCTGGTCGTGAGCTCTATCTGCTGGCTCCTGCCCTGCCTCCGTCGTCTGTCTCTGTGTTCATCTCGCTCCCTCTGCTTCTGTTCCTGCATGCCCTCTGCTTCTCCATCGCGTCCCCGCCCGTGCTGTCCTGCCCCCGTCTGCGTCTCCACCGCTACTCCTCGCCGTCTCCGCCGCTGCCTCGCGTTTCCTCTTGCTTGTATGTATCTTGCCTGCTCTCCCTCGCCGCTGAATGTGGGGTCCGAGCCCTGCCTCATGCGGAGGTGGAGGAAGGAGGAGGGGGAGGAGGAGGAGGAGGAGGAGGAGGAGGAGGAGGAGGAGGAGGAGGAGGGAGTAGGAGGAGGGGAGGAAGAGGAGGAGGATGAGGAGGGAGGGAGAGTGCTTGAGGTTAGCTCTTATTGTCAATCTATCCTCTGCGTTGGACAGACACTCAATCACAGCTTGCAGGAGGAAGAGGAGCAGGAGAAGGAGGAGGAGGAGGAGGAGGAGGAGGAGGAGGAGGAGGATGATCAGTTCTTTCTGCAGTCGCCAATCTTTTCTTTTGTTTACTGGTAATCTCTACGGGCCAGCGATAACATTCGCCAGGCTGCTAGTTTGATCACCCCCCCAGGGGCCGCCTGGTGGGGGGGGCAAGGCAGCATCCGACAGATCTCCATGTCTGTAGCTCACCAGCTCACCATGAGGAGGAGGAGGAGGAGGCGGAGGAAGAGGAGGAGGAGGAGGAGGAGGAGGAGGAGGAGGAGGAGGAGGAGGAGCAGGAGTGGCGGCAGGATGATCTTTCTCCCCCTCTCTCCCTCTCTCTCTCTATCCCTCTCTCCCTCTTTCAGCTTTGTCTATATTGCACTCTGCCTGTGGCTCTGTGAAGTCCCTGCCTCTCAGTTTTTCCTCCTCCCCGTCCCTTTTTTTCTCTGTGTGTACCTGTATGACCACACTTCGGGTGATAAGGAGGCTGGGGGGGTGATGGGCGCAGCTTTCAGATTGCGATTGGCTTCAGGCCGGATTCGCGGTCTATCTATAGGTACCGCTATGCTTATACGTATACACATCGATAGATTTCCCTACCTGACGATGTGTATACATATGTACAAAGAGATACAAGACTGCATTAGCGCTTCGCGCCATGCACTTTGGTCCTTCAGGTTTGGTGTGCAGACAGGAGGGTAATCAGGTATATTGGAACATTCAGCGATATCTCGTTGTTGCCTTTTCTGGCACTCTCGTCGTAATCATGTTATTTGTTACCCTTACCTCATAATTCCTTTTCTTCTTCCTCGTTCTCGCCCTACCCTTCGAATTCTTCCCCATCCTCAGCTTTTTTCGCGGCGGCTCATACTAGAAGAGCCTCTTGCAAGCCTCACGAAGGTTTTCAAGAGCTGGGGACCTCTTGGGGCTTCCCCGGGTGCTTCCAACCGCGGTCTCCCTGGACGACCAGGTCACGATTCGGAGCGATTCTGGAGACCTCTTGTGGCGATCGTGGGCCGTCATGGGGCTCTCTTCGGGCCATCTTCGGGCCTTGTTGGGCCGTCTTGGGGCTCCTCTTGGACTGCCTGGAACTCCTTTTGGTGAAAGTTGGGGCGATTGTCTGGCCTCCTGGGCGGTCTTGGACGCCCGGAAGACCGAAGAACCGAGCATTCCCAACGTCATACCACAACCATCGGCAATCAATGTGTTTTGCGTTTCGAATGCCTCTTGGGGGTCTTCTTTCAGTCGTCTTGGGGCGACTGGTGGGTGTCTGGGGCCTCTGTGGGCTCTCGCGGGGCCGTCTGGCCGCCCTCCGGACCAATTTCAGGAACCCCCGAAGTCACAAGGGACCGTCTGCAAGGCGTCCAAGGTGCCCCTGAGGCCAAGGATCCTGATGGGGTCCCGTTTAGGAGGGCGGGGGTGGGAGGGTCCCAGGGTATAAAGATGTAGAAAAGAGAGAATATGTATCTTTCGTCACTCTAGATCCCGATCTGTTTACCAACATGTTTTAGCATGCTTCCGCCATACACAGCCATTGGTCTCAATATCAATCGGCGACCATCGCTACCAACCTAGATCGGTCGATGTCAGCACCTGTCGGTGTAACGAGCCATGTGCAGATCTCGGTCAAGCTGCGCATTCGGATCATTATGTGTTGGTTATCTGCAGCTGCCAGTTCCACTGTACATCGATCTCGCCATCTATTCCTCCATCGCTCTCACTACAGTGAGCGGCTTGAGTAAGGAACACTTACTTTTCAAAAGGAGTTCGGCCGTTCCTTAGGCTTGCATGCGTTATCAATCGTTCCCTATGCGTTGTATGTTACTGATCGTTCCTTATGCGTTATTCCTTGGGAAAAAGGGGCCTCGTTCCTTATTGATCGTTCCTTCGGTCGGGCCTGTGACTGTACCTACCTACTGGTTTCGTTATCGATCTGTATACCAGAAAGACAAGTAGACCGCCGCGGGTTA